ATCTTATTTGAATGAAACTAAGTAATTTGTAATTTTCACTTAAAATCAGTCAAACATGACAATATTGTTTCACCACACATTGGCTTCATCAGATGTATATTTGGCGTTTACTTGATGTAAATCCATTATAACTGAATATAGACTAAAATTCAAACAATTGAACGTTTGATTTACACTTTATTGACAACATAGCATGACGCGTTATGACATGAGTCGTTACAAACGACTTCTTCAGATGCTAACAGACTACTTCGGTTAGCAGATAGCAGATAGAAGAATACTTCTGTCCAGAGTATTCTGTTAGCATTTGAAGAAGTCGTTTGTAACGACGAAACGCGTCATGCTATGTTGTCAATAAAGTGTAAATCAAAAGTTCAATTGTTTTAGTTTATATTCAATTCATCAGATGTAGATGACAAACTACGAGTACATCTACAAATACATAACTTTAATTTACACAATTTACTTCAATAATTGCTTACTTTTATCATAGCCTCAGTTTTCTATTGCCTGTATTGAAATGTTTATATGATTGATAGGTTGCATTGAAATGGTATAGGAGTCAAAAAAACTCTCCAATAAACTTACGCCTGGTCTTGATGAAATGCCAAGTTTTATTGTGGAAGATTGTATTTATGCACTTTCGGGTCCAATAAAACATATATTCAATCCCATAATAAGCAAAGCCACTTTTCCTAAAATATGGAAATCGGTCAAGATAGTACCTGTCTTGAAAAAAGGTGATCCTTCTGTTGTAAACAACTACAGGCCAAAATCCATCTCATCAAACTTTTCCAAACTTTTTGAAATTGTAGTCTATAATGCTATATATCCAGCCGTCAGAAACAGCATGACGATTGAGCAACATGGATTCATGTCAATGAGAATCTTGTTCAAGCAATCTTATACTGTTTTCTCAGTACATTTCTGAAGTACTCGACTACACCGGCCAAGTTGATGTGATCTACACAGATTTTCAGAAAGCCTCTGATAAAGTTGCTCATGCAACTTATATGCTTATGATATATACTTATCATTTGCAACCTTATACAGAAATTACGCATCAAATTTGGATTCTCTGATCAGAACCTCCAAGGGTCTGATCTTGGGCGACTGCTATTTATTCTGTTCGTAAATGATCTGAAAGATAATATTCACTCTCCAAATTTGATGTTCGGGGAAGAGTTTAAACTATATCATGAAATAAGATCACAGGACAACTATGATCAACTTAAGCTCGCGCTGGATCATGTTGGTAGTTGATGTGAGGACAGTTGATGTGATTTTATTTCAGTTTGAATGTGTCATAACGTAATGTTGTCTCTTTCACGAGGAAAACAGACCGAATTGAGTGTGATTATAGCGTCGGTGGTTAGGATCTTTCTCGTTCTGATAAGGTTGAGAGATCTTGGTGCAGTCTTTAATAAGAAGCTTTCCTTTGTCCCACAAATCACCCAACATATTTCATCTGCTTCGAAAATATATGTGGATTCGTTATACGCAATGGCAAATATTTTAATAATTCCTCAACATTCATAGGACTATTTAAATACCCTAATCCGTAGCAACTTGGAGTATGGCAGCATGATCTGGCATCATATTTACACTTACCATCAACGCCATCTTGAAGCTATACAGAGAAGATTATTGAAATTCTTTGTTTGGAGGGCGGATAAAGTTTATCCACAGAGAGGGGTAAATCATAACGAATCATTGACTCTATTTAGTTTAATCTCATTGCAGGGCCGGAGAGAAAGTTTATCACCAAAATTTTTGTACCAAAGCTGCACAACAGTATCGATTATCCTCCTCTCTTGTCCGCTTTGAAATTTTTTGTTTCTAGGCAAAATTCTCGTACTACAGAATTTTTTCACCTAGAGACTTCAAGGATCTACTCGCTAATACAATCCCTCATTTGCTTTAAGGAGTCTACATTCAATAGAGTTGCTTATAAATGTGACATTCACTTCGACTCCATGGAAGTTATTATTAGGAGTTATGTGAAAAAAGGAAATTGACTAAAATGAATTGATTTGAATTGAGTTCTTATATATTTTTTAATTTTATTATCCAGTTATTAGTTGCTTCTTCGGTTTTTTTAGATTAGATTGAGCTCTGTGTTATATTTCTTCTCATTTTATTTATTTAGTTTTTCAGTTATTATTCAACATTATGTTATTATTTTCTGTAATTGGGTATTATATCTGTTGAGAATAAAGAACGTATTATTATTATTAGTTTGTCGTACTCAGATGAAAATTCAAAAATAGTTTTCTGTTGATTTTCAAAATTTATTGAAAACCAGCTTATCTTGATAGTGATAAATTTATCCTCAGTTTATCAACATTTATCAATATATTTTCCGCATGATTACTCATTGGGATTTTCCTTTGAAAAATATAGAATTGTGAAAAGATAATCTCATAAGCGTTTGATATATATATTCAGTTTTTTACATTGCACGATAATTTCAGATTGCAGGTTTCCATCGTCCAGAAAATACCGAATAGCTACCTGAGTAAGTATTGAATTGGTTGTGGTAATTGAAATTACCTTAAGGTTTATTTCTTACTTATTGAGTTACTACATATTTATTCGATAAAAATAGTTTATAGGTGATTTTTGTTCTGAAATGTGCCGGTTTTCTGAAATTTACTAGTTTCTCAACCATAAGTAAATCGTAATTGAGATATATTAGCTATAGTAGATGATAAACTTTCTACAATCACTTGAAACTTATATATATATATATATATATATATATATATATATATATATATATATAATATTGAAAATAGACACTGTCGGCATATCCCGCTATTAGTTACAGCCGTTGACACCTGTTTCGAGCTTATTGGCTCTCCTCAGAACGGCGTAGCCAAGTTCAAGTTGTACGAACCTGAAGATGAAAAAACAAGAAAGAACAGACACTCCACTGAAGGAAGTCGACACATTTTAGGCTGATGCGTTTTTTCAAATAGTAGTTTTTGCAAACCGCCCAACCCGGAGAGTAAAAAAATTTCGGGAAAAACTCATTTTCTGGCTATAAAAAGATGCATATGGATATTTCATAGTTTCTTCTTCGGAATTTTCAGGCAATTTATTATTATATCTACATTCTGAATTCTTTCATTTATCTATCGCTTATTAGTGTACTTCCATATTTTTTTTTTGTTTTCACAATTAAAATACTAGACAAAAAGTTACACCCCTGTACGATAACAGAATTTGAATTATCTCCAATTTATACACAAATTAATGTATTCAACCAACTACGAACCAGTTGAAGATGTCGAATAAAATGAAAACTTTCATTACATCATTGTTTTCATAGCTTTGAAAAAACTTATAAAAAATATATATTAGCATTATTAGTATATTTTCCTATATATATATATATATATATATATATATATATATATATATATATATATATATATATATATATATAAAACAAAGTTTGTTTAATTAATGGTGAGAATGATTTCGTTTTTCAGATAAATTCATAAGCAATGAAGTATCTACTAGTTATATTTTTGGTTGGCATCCTCTGCTTCGGAGAATCCCTCAGTGCAAAATCTGCAACCATATGTTCTCATCACAAATTCAGTTGCTTAGATAGAAGTGGAATTCCGCGAGGACAGATTTGTGCTAAAACTTGTTATAAATGGGCCAAATTTGCTTGCCGACAATGTGACGATGCGCCTTTATATGACTGTCAATCATTATTTGGAAGTAGCATCGTTAAGGTTAAACTATTGGATAAAACTTGTTGATGAATTATGATATTACACCTATATTATATCATGAAAATAAATATTAGTTACCAATATTATTTTGTTTCACTTCTAGGATCAAACTGATGAAAAGAATCCTTATATTTTCATATTATGATCTCTACTTCTAGATATATTATAATAAATATATCTATATCTATATATATATATATATATATATATATATATATATATATATATATATATATATATATATATATATATATATATATATATATATATATATATATATATATATATATATATATATATAAGAAAATGAACACTAGAACATTCATTTGAAAAATTTAAATTAATCAAGGGAATGTTATAGTAGAGCTAGAAATTCAATTTAACATTCAGGGCTATAAGCACAAACAATTTTCATTTCCTTATATATATATATATATATATATATATATATATATATATATATATATATATATATATATATATATTGAAAAGTCAGAATCGAAGTTACATCCAAAAGTTTTTTGGAATTCGACTGGGATGTAACTTGATGCAACTTTTAGGTAACTTCGATACTCAATTTTCTCTGTAATAAAATAACATCACAAACTGCTGGACTTCCGTGAAAAATTGTTTCACGTTGAGAAGAGACGTTGTTTGACAATTCGTGCTAAAAAATGTAGTTACATTTTCTGCAAAAACGAAGCGATCTTTGATGAAGCTTTGTTCGAAATCGAAGAGCAAAATGTGTCGGCCATAAAGTCTCCAAAGCACTAAACCAGAATACATGTTTCCTTCATTGCATCTTCGGTAACTTGATTGTAAGATAACAAACAAGAAAGCTGCTGTGAACCAGTAGAAATTAAAAACTAAAGGGATGGGTATTATAAAACGGACAGAGAATACTTGGAGCAATTTAACCCTGATCTGGAAATGTCTAAGTGGGGTGGGGGTAGGTACAGAAAGTGCTGGATTTACTGAGTACGCAAGGATTCATTATCTCGACATCTTTCTTACATAAGTCTTCGTATTTTTTCAGGGTCGAATTATTCCAACACTTTTGTGATAACAATCTTCATCTAACAGTCTTACCCACAATTAAACACAGTTTAAAATTTCAAGAATATTTCATATATTGTCCACTTCAATATTTTTTCGCCGGTTCCGAACGGCCATTGGGCTTGTAATCAATGTGCATTACCCAGCATATTTCATTTTTTAACTACTTCAATCATAGACAAACAAAATCATCCATGCCTTCAGCGGGGCTCGAACCCGAGTTCTACCGCACCTTGGTCGGGTGTTTTCCACGACTAAACCACGTAAACCGGCAAAATACTCGTAGGTTTAAATATCTATCTGTTACCTATATGTAGTTATATAGTTTCTGATGTCCAAGTGATATTGTATCACTTGAGAAAATTCATTCACTTCTTTTTTATGTAGAGACAACATCATCTTCGTGAGAAGATTATTTTTTTAATCACATTCGTAATTAACCTATCTATCAGTTCTCAACTTGAATACAAAGATATAGTGTTTTCAATCTATCGAAAAACATTCATTTTATATTTCAATTATTATTCCGAAAAAAAAATTATTTTCAATAACGTTCAACTAGCATTTTAAAAATGTTATTTCGTAATTTAAATTGATAGGGCTACCTCGTTATCTAAAAATTGTTAATCAATTTACCTCTGTTATTCTATCTCAAATCCTGATGTTTACCATGATTTTTTAATTAATGTTCTCTATTATATCACAGAAAAACCGATATATTTCATTTTGAGTGGTTATAATCAATCTGAAAATATAACAATATTGCAAAAATGATTCACTTTTAATTGTACCAAGATAATTGGCACAAAGATTATAATCTGATACAAAATTATCTTTACGTAATTTATCATATGAAAACATACATTTATCAACTATTGCATCAATTGCCCGATCGAATTCAATTGTTTCAATTATTTCATATTTATTTATGACAAAGGAAATCTTAGAGCACACACACCTACTTTTATTAGAAATTTTCGAGTGGTTCTATATATATATATATATATATATATATATATATATATATATATATATATATATATATATATTTTCATCATTCTCAAAAATGAATCAATTGCTTATATTCCCAGTAATTTTTCAGTTACATGTAAACACCGCTACTCGAATCCAAATAGTCATTATTCGTGTAAAGAACTTTTTATCAGTCACATAATATTAATCTTCGATAGACAAATAGATAATTTCAATTATTTCCAGATAATATTTCCATCGAAGTAATAATCAGCAATTCACTGATATTTCAAGCAAATATTCAATATAAATCAAAAAAACAAATCAAATTTTCTCTATTTACAGTGAAAAATGATAATTGCCGCAGAAAAGATTACAATTTATTACAAATTTTTAAGAATAATTTTATAATCAGTTATTTCCTTAATGAAAATAACCTTGTGGGCGCTGCTGGCTTAAAGGGGGGCGGTAAGAGACCCAGAAAAAATGGGGGCGTTGTGTAGAGGCTTGGGGGCGATTTGTCAACTAACATTAATTAAGAGATTGCTCAAATTCGGTTTGATATTTCTCTCCGTGTAGTTCATGTATATGTCCTGTTTTATTCAATGAATAAATAAAAATCATTACAATCGGTTGCTCCGTTTCAAATGAAAGTAGACACAAACGAACCAAAAAAAGGCAATAGACACACTTTCGTATTTTAATAGATATTAGTATACCTAGATAGCTAATTTTCGTAGATGATAGACTGAAGGGAATCATATTTTAACAAGTTTTTGTAAAATAACCCGATTGGTGCATTCCTGTATCAATCGGCTTGTTCATAGAATACTTGTTCTTACTTGTTGAGTACGATTGAGCGTCAAATAAAATAAACAAGTGTATGCATGTTTGTCTTATTCATGTCGGTGCGTACTGCTTATGCAATCCTATATAAACATCGTTATATTTATATTAGCTTCATCTGCAGTTTCGCGCGTAATCGATAAGCAGTACTTAAGTTCAACACTTACTTACGTATTTCTCAAAACAAAACAATGTCGGAAGTAATAAAAAAGAAACGGCAATACTGTGAGGAATATATCAAATTCGGATTCATTGAATATCCCATCGTCGCCTTTGTGTCTTCTATGTCTAAAAACATTTTCGAATGAAGCAATGAAGCATTCAAGACTGCAGGATCATTTGAATAAAATGCATCCATATAAGAAAGACAAGAATGTGGCATATTTTTAAGACCTAGAGAAGAAGCATAATAGGTACTCAGCCCAGTGTAGCCAAACTATTTTCAGCAGCTGCTAAGCAAGGTGACGACGAACTTTGCTCAAAAAAGGAAACCACACAACATCGGAGAAGTGTTAATTTTTCCAGCAATAAAGGAAGTAATAACTACTATGCTTCATAAACCGGCCGCAGATATTATCCGAAAAATTCCTTTGAGTAATAATTCTGTGCAAAGACGAATCGATGAAATCGCTGAAAACATTGAAGGATCATTGTGCAATCATTTGAGGACTATTCATTTCTCAATTCAGCTCGATGAGTCCACTTTACCAACTAATGAAACATTGTTGCTGTCTTACGTGAGGTTTATTAAAGATGAGAAAATATGTGAAGAACCATTGTTCGCTAGAAATTTAGAGACCGATACAAAAGGCAAAACCATATTCAATATATTGGAATTGGAAAAGTTTTGTGATGAGAATAAGATTTCCTTGAAAACTATTATATCAGTTTTTACGGATGGCGCTCCGGCTATGACAGGGTGCCATAAAAGCTTCATAGCGTACTTAAAAAATAAAATTCCAGATATTTTTGCTGTACATTGCGTTATTCATAGACAACATTTGGTTTCTAGAAACTAAAGTAAACGACTATTTCAATCACTGCAATATGTCATCAAAGCAGTCAATAAAATCCGTAACAGTTCTTTGAATGATAGATTATTTCATCAGCTTTGTGTTACTTATGACGAAGATTTCAACCGTTTGTTGCTTCATACTGAAGTTCGTTGGCTATCAAGAGGCAATTGTACATTCTGTTTGACTCTGTGACAGAGTTCTAGGAAGCTAAAGATACAGAATTGCGCAAAAAGCTCATTACATCAAAGGATGATATAGCTTACATGATAGACCTGTATAAATTGTTCAACGACATGAATCTCCAACTGCAAGAGGATGAACTAAAAAAGAATATGGGCAGACGTGAGTTTCACAATTTTTCGAAATTATCAGTATCCTGCAGTAACGATGACTTGTTTGCCTACTGCCAACATTTAGAAAACCTCCACATTGACTTCACCGAACGATACCAGGACATTTTGAACTTGGAAATACCAGACTGGGTGTTGGATGTCAATCGAATGTTAACATAGCAATGCCACCTCATCTGGAAGAAAAACTTATAGAATTGACAACAAACGAGGAAATAAAAAAGGTATCAAGAATTTTGGCTACAAAAACCGATCCCGAAATTGTACCCTGGATTGTGGTCAATCCTTCAACGATTCTTGATAGCATTCCCATCGTCATATTTCTGTGAATGTGGATTTAATGCTGCTTACTAAAAAGAGAAATCGTTTGCATGTTACCGAACATATTAAGAACAGTCTTGCGACTGTTCTTGAGTAAATTGGACTCTGATATCAACAAACTTATTAAACAGCATCAGATTCATCCTTCGCATTAGGTTTTATATAAGAATTAATAATGTTTGTTTTATTTTAAATAAAAGATACTCTGTCTGAATACTATAAAGTTGCGTTTCAATAATCATTCTCATTGGCAGGTGTAGCCCGCAAGAGTTACCTTGAGACCTGAGCGCCGTTGGTAGTACACAACTACTGCGCTCAGGTCTCAAGGTCACTCTTGCGGGTTATAGTTAAAGTCTCCTTTAGAATGAATGTTTAATCTTCGCTAATATAGTTCACGATAATTAATTAATTCAATTTGAAGTTATAGTGATTTTAGAGTAGGTGAAAAAATGAGGGCGATAAAAAATAATTTATTCTCAAAGTGGGCAGTAGACAAAATAAGTTTGGGAACCCCTGGCATAGAATATTAGTTTTCACTAGTGTTGTCCTGGTTCGGGTCTAAGGGCCGTCGTCGGTTGGAATTTCAAAATTCTTCAGAGGTCGTTTTCTGATTCTGGAAGTAGACCCTACTTCCAGAATCAGAAATGGAACATAGAATATTAGTTTTCAGTTTATATTTTATTACTTTTCAGTTTATATTTCTTCAGTTTATTCCTGAAAATTCTCCTTTCTTGAAATAACGATGATATTGTAATTGACAACAGACGGTAAAATGTTTTAAAATTCTTAATTTAGTTTCCATTCAGATATTTGTTTATTCCAATCATTGGGTCCTATCAACTCCGGAATATTTGAAACTTTGAGATTTTCACTCAAATTAAGTCAAACATGACAATATTGTTTCGCCACACAGTGGTTTCATCAGATGTAGAAGATAAACTACATCTACAAATACATAACTTTAATTTACACAATATGCCTTAATAGTTGCTTGCTTTTATCATAGCCTCAGTTTTCTCTGTTGAATATAGGTTCTATTGAAATGATGTAGGAGTCTTTGAAACTCATTATCCTTCAAGTAATGTTACCCGTTATCGAGGATCATGTTGATTCTAATTCTGTTAGACTATGTCGTACTTAGACCGAAATTGAAAAAATTTTTTTATTAAACTTATTGAAAACGGTCTTATCTTGATAGAGGTAAATTCATCTTCAGCTTATCAACATTTATCAATATATTTTCCACATGCTTACTCATTGGGAATTTCCTTTGGAAAATCTAGAATTGTAGAAAGATAATCTCATAGGCGTTTGATATATATACAGTTTTTTACATTGCACGATAATCACAGATTGCAGAGTTCCATTGTCCAGAAAATACTGAATAACTATCTGAGTAAGTATTGAATTGATTGTAGTACTTCAAATTAGCGGAAGGTTTATTTCTTACTTATTGAGTTACTATATATTTACATGATAAAAATAGTTCACAGGTGATTTTTTTTCTGAAATGTGTTTATGGCTGAAAATAAATTTCAAATTATAATTTTTACTACTTTTTCAACTAAAACTAAATGAATGAAATATATCAGCAATGGTAACTCAATGTTTGTCTCAATGTTACTTAGTAACATTGTATTCTCTTGATAATGGGTTAACCACCAGAAACATATGTTTTAAAAGAGTTATTAATATATTTAGTGAAACTTAAGCCAAGTGTATTAATTTATTATGTTTAACATAATGTTTCACCAAAAGATAAGCGAAA